CCTGTTGGTGTCTGCAAATGATTGCTCTGAGTTACAGATGGAGAGACATGAACAAAGGAGAGAAATGTTTATGAAGAAGAATCCAGAGGCTCTAAGTGACCACCTGGCCATGGACTGGCAGGAGGGAGGAAGGAACCAACCAATTTCCTTTCGGGGTGGGCAATGGCTCTGCTGACTGTGACAAAGAACATTCTAATTAAGATATTATATGAGAGGCTCTCAACCTGTGGGTTTGGGCCCCTTCAGGGGTCGAACGACCCTTTCCCCGGAGACCATTGGAAAACATAGATATTTACATTATGATTCAGAACTAGCAAAATTACAGTTATGGAGTAGCAACGAAAATAATTTTATGATGGGGGGGGTCACCAAAACATGGAGAACTCTACTAAAGGATCACAGCATTAGGGAGGTTGAGAACCACTGGACTACATAAATTGAGGGCCCAAAGTGTAAAATGAAGAGGCAAGGTCCCCTGCTGAACAGCCACTAAAAATGTCAAGAGAGTAAGAGTAAGTCCCTTTAATCACAGATCCAGGTGTGGTGGCTAATGCCACAGTCTAAGAAGCCACCGTGCTGAGACCTGTCTGCAGGTTTGAAGTGTCAACCGTAGAGAGATTTGCATAAGCCAAATCCCATCAAAGGACAAGCTCTGCCTCTGAGAGACACTGGCTCAGGTACCCATAGTCACCTTGGGTGGTAACAGAGACAGTCCAAATGCCTGTCACCTTGGAGTAGTCAGAAATAACACCGGGTGTCTCTGACAAAAGAGATTTCTCGTGTGAGAAGTTAAAGAGCAAGGTGTTGGTCCCTGAGTAAAATCCAAATTACTTTACTTGGCACCACTGTTACACAAAGGGGGATTCCATGTTGGCCATCCAGTGATCTGCCCTTCCGCTGTGCTTTGTAACATCTGCTGGCCACAGTTCTCGGGACATTCGATCTGGTTTGCACAATCCTGGCTTGATTTACTGTGATGCTGGCCTTAACTTGGACCCCTCCTAAAATTCTGACTTCCCAGGTCTTCGTTCCAAACTGTTCTTTAAAAATCACGAAGCCGAAATCAGAGGCGTCGTTTTGAGGAATCGCCTGCCAGTAGACCCGTCTCCTGGACTCTACCCAGGCATGCTGTGTGTTTATGCCATACAAGTGAGGTCGGATTCAGTGAAACCGCCCAGAAAACTCTGTCCAGGTCACTAAAGAAGTTTATTCGGGAAACACTACTAATGTAAAACACTTGAAAATAGTTTCACTTAAAATGAAACTATTTTACACGCTAGATAAGAAGAAATGAAACTCCCATTATCAGCCTTTTAAAGAGATTTTTTTAAAGAATTTATCATTTATTTAGCTCTGTCTCTCCTTGTACATGTGTGTGTTTCATACATGCCTGTGAGCGCTAATTCCCACATGGATAAGGATGCTCACATAGACCAAAAACGCCCGTCGGATCCCCTAGGGCCCAAGTTGCAGGCAGTTGTGATTGGGAGCTGGGAAACAAACTCCAGTCCTCAGAAAGAGCAGCACCCACTCTTTGGGGCTGAGCCATCTCCCTAGACCACCCCCCAAAAAAGGGGGGAAACCAACTACTAATATCAAATAGTATCAAGATCTTTAAAAGACTTTTTATCAGGTCTGAACCATCCCACTCTTGCCAGGAAATCCGGCTGATCCCTGAATCCAGAACCTGGGTCCCTCAGCCTTTTCCTGGCAGCCCATGTGCTGCTACCCAGGGCTCCCAGACCATTCCCTAGAATCTCAGAAAGACAGGGGGCAACTATAGCAAGACTTTTCATTGGGCATGAGTGGATTCTTCATAAGCTCTTGCACGCTATACATAAGACTCTGAAATCTGCTCCTGTGGACATAAGAGCAATTCTTTTCTTCTCAGATTCCTCTGAGGTGAAACTTAACCAGACAGAGCTTCCCAAAGCATCAGGATGCCCCATGGCTACGAGCCACTAGACTTGGATTTCACTACTTCTTGGCCCCTTGACAACTTGCAGTGAAGGGGGGGGGGAGACAGAAGACAATAAAGGGCCAGCACAATACCAGCCATAGACTGCTGGCCTCTGAAGCTGAGTGTTAAGGCATGCTTGTCGTCCTAGCGTTCTGCCGGTTAAGGCAGGAGGATGGTGTGTTTGAGGCTATCCTCAGCTACACGGGCAGACAAACAACACATACTTTCTTTTAAGCCATGCTTAATAAAACGTTCCTTCGTGGGCAGATGACTAGAAATAGGGGGTATTTTGGAACAAGAACCCTAGAGGAGACATCGTCCTCCACGTCCCCCCTCCTCCCACCGCCTCCTTCTGATCTCCACAGCGGAGGATTTATTTAAACTCAACTTCCCTAGGTTCTAGACTGACTCAGGCCCTTTGTTCCCAAGGAATGCACAGATAGACGTGTAACAGGCATGCCTCGCTTAATTCACAGCTCCAAACAGCACCCAGGCTGACGCTGTGCCCATTTCTCGCCAGGCGTCCGCTCTCACTTCCCTCCCCTGGGCACTTCCCTTGTCCTGAACCCCAAGCTCAAACCTCCCGCCATGCAATTCTTGGCATTTATGTCTCAGATGTCGCTGTGGGTTTAGGGCTTTTTCCGGTGTATGCCAAAGGCCTCTCAGTTGAGCAGATGATGCCCTCCCAGACTTGAGATATAGCAGCTCTCTGTATGGTCCTTATTTGGCTAGATACGGACTTGCATTAAGGAACTCACCTAAGGCTTCTTGAGGACCGTTCTGAGTCTGAATTGTTGAGGAAGAAAGTGAGCTACTTTTTGAAACCAAGGGGGAAAGAGAGGACCAACTACTCAACAAATGGCTGAGGATAGCTGGCTACGCATTTCAGAAAAAACAAAGAATTCAGATCCCAACCTTAACCCCAGTGAGTTGAATATGTATTAACAAGAAATATATGTAGCTCTCCTACTATCTCTCTTCTTCCTGTCATTGTGGGAGTGTGGAGTGTACACATTTGTAACATATGAGTATATAGCATATTCACAAAATTATATTATACTAATAGTATATGCTCAGATACTATTAAGATATACATATATGATGTATAAATTTCATTAACATAAATTATATACTATGATTAGGTATATGGTAATATATGTATGTTTTATGAAGCAGTTTGATGTACATCTGCAAAAGAAGATTATAGAAGAAGAAATAGTTATGCGGAGATGTGAGAGGTGCTGCCTCTCCCCGAGTTGAATTCCCACCCCTCTGCCTCCTGATGGCTTTTCTCCAGCCCTGGACCAGGTTCATAGAGCTGTCCAATGCCAGTTCCAAGGATACTGGCTACCTTCTGTAGCCAGACTGTGCTGGATGTCAGACACACAAAGAAAAACACAACCTGCTCAGGAAGACAAAGGCAGCAAAGGGGAGTCGGTGGCTGTCACAGTGAAGTAAGCACTTGACACGGTCAGGGGAAAGGGTAGTGAGATCCATGCTGTCTGGGTCAAGGAGGACCTCAAGCCTCATCTGGGATTCGGATCCCCTGGCTTACCTGGTCGACAGCACTGTCGACATGCAGCTCAGAGAGAGGGCTGCTCCTGCGTGCAGAAACAGACATCCCTGGAAACCCAGGAGTCAAAAGGGAAGAAAAAGGGGAAAGGAACAGAACCCTGCCTGACCCCTTGCTCGGTGCCTGCGGTTGGTAGAACTCAGCCTGGAATAAATAGGAGTGGCAGCTCTTGAGTCAAGACCATTCCAAGTTCTAGAAGGTTCTTCCTCCCTTCATAGTAGGTTTATGCCCTGACACACCCCGAGTGCTGGGAGAAGAGGCCACAGCCCTTTGTCCTGATCAACCAGTCACCATATCAGGTAAGACTGGCTAGGCCCAAGCGCCCGGCCTACTAGCTCTTGCATAGTATTCCTCTCCACTGGGGAAGACTTGGAACCCTGTGTTAACAGAGGTTCTCCGTATTGATGTAGGAAGATACGGAAATTGGAGCAACCTGGGCAGGTAGGGAACTCTGCACATGGGTCTACTGTTATTTAAGCAAAAAGTTCCCTAGCCAACAGGACAGTGACTTGACCAGGGCACAGAGTGCAAAAACAACAAAGGAGGGCTCTAGGCAAGTGTTCTTTCCACCCAGACTGAGGTAGGAGAAGTCCCCGTTGAAGGGCACAACCAAGGGACTCCTCCAGAGACTTCCTAGGTACCTGTATGAGGAGTAATGTCCCCACCTCTGTCCTTGTGGTTGGACAGGTTACACGTCTCCAAGCCTGGGACACACTGAAAACAGGACCATGCAAGCGTAGCCTGGCTGGCCGAGCAAGCTTCCAGAAGTCTGAGCTCCTCCTCCTAACTTCCCGTGCTGGGATCTGGGAATCTCAGTGAAGCAAGCGCCAGAGGAGGCCCCGGCACTCCACTCTGACCATCCTTCCCACAGCACGCATACCTCTCCAAGGGGTAGTCTTGAACAGGCGATGGGAGAAGAAGAAGAAGAAGAAGAAGAAGAAAGTGACTTCTAAGGGCCACCAGCACATGCATGTTTCCTTCAGTAACTGTGTGCTAAGGTGAACTCCTTCCTAGTCAGCAAGAAATGTCGGCTCTTCGACCCAGGTTGAGTAGGGGAACCAATTATTTCTCAATCCTAATATACTCTGGAATAGCCCATTTATCCACGTCATTGTGACCTAAGAGTTCGTGAATGGGACTCACAACTGAAGGCCTCTGTACACAGAACAGCCATCTGCCCCCAGGAAATAGGACTTCTTGTATTGAGAAGCTTAAAAAAAAAAAAAAAAAAGGGAAAACTTTTTTTTAAAAAAAAGAGAGGTAGCCCATACTAAATATAGCTATGCAGAAGTCCGTTTAGCAGTTCTTTTGCTTACAATGCAAAATGAAAAAAGGAAAAAAAAAATTAAGAGGGAGGAGGAGCTTGAATAACCTTTGCCAGGAAGTATGTAAATGGAGAGGTCCCACTATGCCTTCAGTATAAAAGGGGGACCCTGGAGGGGAGGTCTACACTTTCAGGGACTTGCTGTTGCAGTACCAAAGCCACAAGGCAGCCTTGCAGAAGACAGAGCTCCACCATGCCCGGCTCAGTATTGCTCTGTTGCCTGCTCTTACTGGCTGGAGTGGGTACCAGCAGAGGCGAGCACACCCGGGCTGAGACTAACTGCACCCACTTCCCAGTCAGCCAGACCCACATGCTTCGAGAGCTGAGAACTGCCTTCAGCCAGGTGAAGACTTTCTTTGTGAGTATGAAGCCTGCCTATTATCCTTCCTTGCTGGGATGGCTGGAAGTACACATTCTGATGGAATGGTGGAAATCACCCTCCTCTTCCTCTTCCTGCTCCCAACCCCTGCCTCTCCTCTATCCCCAACATCTGTTCCCCTTAACTTAAACCCAGACAGTCCTAGGTTAAGCCGTGGGTTATGGGTTAAACTAAACCCAGGCACGCAGGAAAAGCCACCTAGACGGTGGCTGTATTGTCTCTCCTGTGCTCAAGAGCTTTCTGGAAAGTTTCCAATGAAGCTCCATATTTTGTTGGCTGGGACAAAAGTCCAGAGGTAAGAGCCATATGCTGCCTCTGCTTAGACTCTGGATCCAGGGCAGCACCAGGCATGGAGAGCTTGCATTACAAGAGGATTCCCTTTCCAGAGAAGGCAGAGAGCCCTGCAGCTGAGACATTCTCCATAAGGGTTAGGGTTAGGGACTGATGCAGGTGCCCTGGAAACCTGATGTGGCTCATCTGAAAGAAGAGCAGGCCTGGGACAAGCTTCCCCAGTGTGTTCAAGCCAGTCAGAAGCTTCTATTAAATTGTTCGATGCCAAGAGGAAGGGCTTTGATTTCACGCCAGGCTCTAGTACCATCCAATCCTGATTTTAAAACTCTCCCTTCAATATTTGCCAGGGCTACACTGATTACTAATTCAAAGGGGGAGGCATCCGGAAGATGTGCGTGCCAGGTACTTGCATTCACACTCCCTTTGTTCTTGCAGCAAAAGAAGGACCAGCTGGACAACATACTACTCACTGACTCCTTACTGCAGGACTTTAAGGTAGGCGTCGCATGCACATGCGTGCTGGGGAGCGATGCAGCGGTTGGGGAAGGGAGGCTGCCTATGACGGCGGGAGATGGGTCTGATGCCAGAGCTTTCAAAAGGAGAAGTGGGAAGACCTTAACTCAGCACATAGGCAGCAGTCAAGGGTTAGAAGAGCTCGTTCTGCGGTAAAGGGACAGAATGTAAGGAGAGAGGGGGGAGGGCTCTCTAGGGGCAAGCCAGTCCATCTAGTTTAGTTGTAACAGGGCATCATTGCAGTAAAACCCAACCTCTGATTCCTGCCTCTAGGGTTACTTGGGTTGCCAAACCTTATCAGAAATGATCCAGTTTTACCTGGTGGAAGTGATGCCCCAGGCAGAAAGCCATGGCCCAGAAATCAAGGAGCATTTGAACTCCCTGGGAGAGAAGCTGAAGACCCTCAGGAGGCAGCTGCAACGCTGTGTGAGTAGCAGATCAGTTCTTTCCCTTGGAGCCACCCAACAAATGCCATCTTCTACAGCCCAGCCAGGCCACATGCATCCAGAGACACACACAGACTAGCCCAGGGACTAGGTAAATCTACACAAGCGCCTCCAGGCAGATCTCCTGCTCGTCTGTCTCTGGGCGACCGACCGTGGGGGTGGCTTTGAGGCGCTTACACGTGAAGATTTGCGCATAGCCTTCCTGTTATTTGTGAGTCATTGTGGGTTATTAACTATTCCCCTCTCTTCATGGGAAGACCAGGGCTTCAGTTACAGCTTGCTCATCTCTTTGGATCTGGACCCCCGGCTGCCAGCTGAGGAGGCTCCCAAGCAGAGGAAAACATTCACCTATTGTCTCTTCTTTTGGGAAGCAAATTCAGCAACACACAACTGGACTGATAGGACTCTGCCTGGCATCTCAGAAGGGCCAGACGGCTTCTGTCCCTAAACCGGGACCTATGACTATGAATAATACGCCCAGAGTATCTATTTCTCTGAGTGAAGTGATGATGCCTTTGCTTCTTCTCTCACTGATACTGGGAAATCAGTTGGCATCTATTTGTGCACCAGTTCTAAGCCAACCATTTGGCCCCAGTAGCTGAGACTTTATCTCCACCCTCAGATACGTGGCAGTGGAGATTGGAGATAGACAAGCTGAGACATGCAAAACACAATAGAGAGACAAAGCCCAAAACCTGGGCTCACACCCATGCTTTGTAAACATCCTAGTGATTCCGAAGACATACATTGCATCTTCCTGGACTCTCCTCTGCCCCTAGTGTAATAGATAAGGACCAAGCAGGGTTCAGTTCTCCCTGGGAGCTAAGAGGTGGGCATTGAAGATGAATCCAGCCCCCTTTCATCACGCAAGGAGGTTGTTCCCCCTAGTGGCATGGACACAGAATTGGAGCTAGAATTATTTACACTTCCTTTTCTTCTACAGCATCGGTTTCTCCCCTGTGAAAATAAAAGCAAGGCTGTGGAACAGGTGAAGAATGACTTTAATAAGGTAAGCTTGGGTAGCGGCAAGGAGGGTAGGCCATAACGCCATCCTTGTCTGCTCACCAAAAGCAGAAGGAGGGACCTGTCCTGTGCCTGGAGTGTGGGAATCTGGCAAGTCGTTGTGATCTCTGCCAGTTAGGCGCCACCGCCTCAGTCACATGTGTTTTCTGCAAAGCGTCTCTGGCAGTTTCTAAATGACTGCCTCACCTTTGCAGGCTTTCGGCTTCGACTGACCAGACAACCTATGAGCACAGAGCACTAGGTGCCTGGGAGAGTGACAGAGGAAACAGAAAGTACAGAAAGTACCTTTGTTGGGAAACGGGCTGAACCCACAAGTGCAGAAAGCAGACGTGAATTAATGCACACAGGCACATCCTGGGGCTCAGACTGGATGCCCCAAACTGAGAATGAGCAGGAAGCAGAATTATTATTTGTCCTGGTGCACTTTCCACCTGGCAAACACAATGAGGTTTCACACTGCCAACTGCCTGTGAACCCATTAAACCCTAGTTCCCAGAAGCCATGTGGCCTACGCCACCTTCGCGGGCTAGGCAGAAGCACCTGGCGGGGTTCCAACATCAGTGGGCATGGATCGAGAAGAGCAGGGTGGGGACTACTTAAATGCCCAAAACATTAAAAAAAAAATTTTTTTTTTCCTTGTCACTGACTGCCTTGCTCTCAAACTGCTTCCTCTAACAATTCTGCATAAGCATTACGCGAGCCCGGGGCCTCTAAAAATATTGAAATGGTGCCATTCTGAAGACAGTGCTTTGAGAATGAGTTTCCCTTGCTGGCTTACTGGCAGAGCTTAAAGCTGGGGGGGGGGGGTAGGCACAGCTGCTTCCCAAGGCAACAGGGCTTTGTTGGTTCTCAACGCCAAAATAAGCGGAGAGCCTTCTGCATTTAGGGTCCTGCCCCGTCAAGTGCAGGGATCTCCTCAACCCTCCAACAGGTCTTAACCAGGTGTTTCTCTCCCTGCACAGCTCCAAGAGAAAGGCGTCTACAAGGCCATGAATGAATTTGACATCTTCATCAACTGCATAGAAGCGTACATGACCATCAAAATGAAAAACTAAAACCCCCAGAGTGTGTGTTGAGTCCACGGACGCCAGGGCTTAAACAGAGCTCTTTAATTTCACCCAGGGATCTTAGCTAGCCGAAGTAACTCCTTGGGAAACCTCATTGTACCTCTCTCCAAAGTATTTATTACCTCTGATACCTCAGCCCCATTCTATTTATTCACTGAGCTTCTCTGTGAACTATTTAGAAAGAAGCCCAATATTATAACTTCACAATATTTATTATTTTTACCTATGTTTAAGCTGTTTCCACAAAAGACAGGTGGTAGTATTTGAGTGTTCTAAGGTAAATTATGTTATATAATGTGGTGGTGGGGGGTTCTTCTTTGGGAAGCCAGCTGAAGCTGCCATTCTAAGGCTGGCCACACTTCATAGCTACAGATATGTTTACTGTGATGCCGTCTAGTTTCTTTCATCCCTGAGTTCAGGACTCCTGAAGTAGTAAAGACAGGGCTTAGGAAAGGAAACCAGAGAGCCCTTTGGATGACTGTCCTTCCAATAGCTCAGAGGGTTTCCCCTGACCTCATTCTCCAACCATCTCATTCTTAAAAGCTGTGGCCAGTTTATTTATAACCACCTAAGATTAGTTCTAATAGAACTCATTTTTAACTAGAAGTAATTCAATTCCTCTGGGAATGGTGTACCGTTTGTCTGTTTTTATAGCAGATTCTAATTTTAAATAAATGAATCTTATTCAAATTGCGTTGTGCAATCCATTGAGTCCTGTCTGATTGTAAATGTCCCTCAAAGTACCGGAGGGTCAAAAGGGTGAATGAATCTTATATTCCAGAGAAAGCAACCTCTCCAGGAAAGGGTGGGGTACAGATCCCATAAGAGGAAAATCTTGCTTCACTTTCAAATCATCAGCATAAACCACTGAGATCTTCAAGCTCAGTCCTTTAAGACACACCATGAAACCCTTAAAGACCATGCTAGCGTCCAAAGCTAGGGAACGTGACTCTACACACACACAACCAATGTAAGCAAGAGAAGCATAATGTGTCTTTTTCTTCAAGCTGCAAAGGTCCTAGGGTAAATTTAGATCTGTCTGGGTGCACTCTAGGAACTAACAGAAAGTTATAACTAGCTCCTGGATATTATTCCCACTCCACAACTTGGGTTACTACTGCAACCATAATTGAAACCTCCTGCCAACCCTGCCTCCCACAGTCTGATGATCTAAACCTGGGGCCTTTGACGTGCTAAGCAAACATCAGCTGCTGAACTTGAACCTCCAGCCCTTGATGCTTTGAGACAAGGTCTCAGCTAAAATTCAGGAAGGCTTTGAATTCTGCTCCTCCTGCCTCAGCTGTCCAAGTACTGGGATTCCTTTTTAGGCTGAGGTCAGAGGCAAGAGAGAATAGAGTATAGGTAAATTGGCCTACTGGATAGGTTCCCAAAGGGTTCAACCAGTCACTCTTTCTTCCCCCTCCCTGAGTGACCAGAGAGGTGTTAGACCGACTTCTTGGGGGGAGGGGGGATGGGACAGGACAGTGGCTGGGGAAGCCCTACTGAATGTCTCGTGACTTGGAGGACAAGGGGAAATAATGGGCTGAGTAACCCTGACACCACACACACACACACACACACACACACACACACACACACACACACACACACGTGCTGCCCAGGCAGCCCCCGGGACAGGGCGGGTGGGATCTGATAGGCTGTGGTCATTTTTTCAGTAAGCCCTGACTCACTTCGGTTAAAGTAACCACCGGAAGGAAGTGGGAAGGATCAAAGCCGAATTTCTGAGATGAAAGGTTGGGGTTAAGAGTGGGAGCTAGGGGCAGCCGTGATGGCTCAGTGGTTAAAGTGCCTGCCCTGCCGAGCAAGGGTCAGAGCAGGGTTTCAGAACCTTAGAACCCAAGCAAATGCCGGTGAGCATGGCGGCCAGGGAAGGCAGAGATGGGATCCCCAGAGCCAGGTGGCCAGCAAGACGGGCCCTTTTAGAGAGCTCTGAGAGTCTGCGTCAGTGAAAAGGTGGAAGAGACATTGAGGGCCATCCCTGACACCAACGGCAGGCCTGCACATGCATGCCCACACATGTGCATACTAAGAATGCATGCACACACCCCACATCCACATGGAAGGGGGAAAGGAGACTGGGGGCTCGCAGAAGAGGAGCAGAGAGGTGACCGGAGCTCTCATTCCAATCTAGAGAGGTTCTGAGGCCCTAGCCAGAACGGTGCCAGCAGCTAGGGCTCAGTGGCAGCCAGCCCACGTTACCTAGTAGGAGGTGGTATCTCACTCAGGAGACTGGGCATCTGAAACAGAAACACATCTGAAAAATCGGCATAGCCGATCTCAACAGTAGCCACAATAGTACTAGCATATCTTATGGGTATGGCAGGCATTCGACATGCTTTTAGTATTGCTCTTTCCCGTAGGCCCAGAAATGGAGCGCTTTCGTACTGTTCAGTTTTCAGTTTACTATGCTGCCATTCAATAACTCAATATTCTAATGACCGTGTTGGAAGTTCAAGCTTTTTTTTTTTTAATATCTTATTCATCCAGCACTCTCAACCATGCGTTTTTTAATAATTTCTTTTTATTTTGTGTGTTTTCATGTTCTGCCTATCAAGTGTGAAGGTGTCAGATCTCCTGAAACTGGAGTTGCAGACAGGTGTGAGCTACCATGTGGATTCTGGGAATTGAACCCAGGTCCTCTGGAAGAGCAGTCAGTGCTCTTAACTGCTAAACCATCTCTCCAGCCCCCAATTATAAATTAATCTTAAGAAATACCTAGGTCCTGTGCTTGCTAATTAAACTCAGTCTGTATCTATCCCTATAGTTTTATACCTAATATTGGACATTAATTGGAGCCATTTGTTGGCTACCTGGCTACACACTTGATATGTATTAACTCATTAGTTATCATGTAACGCTATGAGATATTAAATGAATATCTCAATTTATCTTTTTTTCCTTTGAAAAAAAGAGTTTCACTGTCTACCTCTGACTGGCTTGTAACTCACTATGTAGATCAGGCTAGCTTCAAACTCAGAAATCCAGCTGCCTCTGCCTAACTAAGTGCAGGGATTAAAGGCGTGTGCCACCACACCTAGGCAACATCTCAATTTCTTACACAAGAAAATGAAATTCAGATAAGGTTTTTCATCTGCTTTAGGTCATCCAACTGTTAATGGCAGTTTGTGAACTTAATGATTATATCAAACTCCTACAAAAATTATTGAATAATTATTTCCCCCCATATTGTTCTGCCTCATTAAAAGACATAGATATTTGCCAAACTAATGGTGTACACCTATAATCCTAAGATTTAAGAGACTGAAATGGGGACATTGAGAATTTGAAGCCAGCCTGGGATACACTGCAAGAACCTGCCTCAAAAACAACAATAAAATAGCATACACTTATACTGGTACATGCTCAAGAGGCTGAAGAAGGAGGGTCACTGAGTCTAGGTGTTCAAGGCCACCCCAAGCAACACAGAGTGACCTTATGTATATAAAAAATCTGCAAATTATTATTATGTGTCATCGTTTTTATTTGTCTTGAGACATTTTAAATTTGTCTCCTAATTACTCTTTGACTATCTGGTTCCTCAGGAGCATAAGAAATATTCGCATGACTAATGTAGGCCATCACATGGCTGTGGCTCCTTTATGAGTATCCACAACATGGGGTATATCTTCCTGAGAGCCAGTGATCTGAGGAGAACTAAGAAGAAGGTAGATACAGCATCTTTTCTGGCCCAATCTGGGAACTCCCACACCACTGGTTCTGCTGACTTCGAGGGGAGGCTGAGTTTCAGCTTTTGAAGGAAGCATGTCAAATGATCCGTACACGCATTTTAAAACTTCTACACCCTTCCAAGTGTTAAAAGACAGTAGCTTTGCGCTCTTGGCTGGTGGGTGGAGGGAAGAGCTGGCTGGAAACCAGATGCATAGCTGGCCCTTCAACATGGACATTGCCATCCTTGGGTCTCCCTCCTGTAGACTTAACCCAACATATTTACTTCTCTTAGCCTCGGTTTCTCCTTTGCGAAACTGGCAAAACTCTCTTCCTAGAAGTTAGGGATTGATTGTGTCCCTCTTATCCTTAGCCCTCCTTCCCCCAAATTAATATTGGAGGCTTGACTCCCAAAGCGATGACACTTGAAGACAAGGCCTTTGGGAGACACCAAGGTTAGATAGTTAGATGCGAGTCTTCATGTTGGACTCGGTGCTAACCCTGAAGAGTTGGTTCTATTTACTCATCACATTTTAGGACCCATCGAAGAAGAGGTTTTATGATGGTACAATGAGATAGGAGCTCTCTTGAAGCAAGAGGCCTCAGGATGAAACTGCCTTGCTGGCACCTTGATCTTGAACTTCTTCTCAGCCAGTAGGAAGAGAAGTTCCTACTGGTTAAGCCAATAGTTTTCTGGGAAGGCTCAAGCCTACTAATACACTAAGTTTAGCATGAAGGCATCTGAAGTGTGAAATGCCTAAGATATATGTGTTTTGAAGAGGTGGCATACAAATGGCGTATGGGTGAGGTTTTGGGAAGAGGGCCAAAAGCCTTTATTCTCTTAGACCAGCTATCTCATCTCCCAAGTCTACTTGGCACTCACGTACCAGATCTAGTAGATAGTGTGAGTCTCTACTCATCTGTGGTCCTGGCTACTAAAATGAAGAGGGTGGGGCCAGCAGAGATGTTCCCAGAATCTAGATGGCAAAGTGATTGCTCTACATAGATGGCAGACATTAGACAAACAGGCTCCTCCATTCTGGGGATGAAGCATAGTTTCAAAGGATGGGATGACCCGGCATTGAGTGAAAAGCAAGAGGTAAGAGCTAACTCGAGGGCAAAAGCCTTCCATTCTATGTCTCCCCCTCAAACTTAAGTTTGGGTTTAATTGTGATAAGCTTTAGTGAAAATCTAAGTGGAAACTGGGTCATGAGAACCTAAAGCTAGAATGAGAGGATGACCTTTGACCTTCTTATGTGAGCTACAGAACTGTCTCCAAAATGAACAAGTCGACTCTAAGGGCACCATGGGTCCCCTGTGTACGGATTTCATTATTCAATGCTCCTTTTCCCAAGATGCTCCGGTGGTGACTTTGGAGATTTACTTAGTCTATCGGGAACTAGAATTCCTCAATAGTAAAGCACAGAACACGGTCTGCATTGGTAGTTTTAATTCTGGGGCTGTGAATAGGGGCACTTGAGGGGTGGGAATGTGGGTACCAAGCAAGTTTCCAAACTGAACACCAGCAATCCCTCCATAAGCCTGCACATGCGCATTCGGAAGCATCCCTCCCTGTGTGGCAGGGGTCCAAGCCACTCCTTAGAGAAGGACCTGGT